ATTTAATTAGATTTAGTAAAATGTATTTTATATTAATTTCAACAGTTTGGAACTTTATATAAATATTAAAATAATTTGGATGGCAATCAACTTTTCGCAAAAGTTTAAGCTTTAATTCAGATTATTGTTAAAAAAAAACTATAATATTATACCAGAAAGTAATTTAAATTTTAATATAATAAATACCTCATTAATAAAATCTTTAATAATTTTTTCGTCTAAATCTACATTAGTATCGATTTTAAGACACTTAAGAGCAACCGTTAAATCATTGTCTTTCCATTCGTATTTGAAAACCTTTCCAAAGCCTCCGAAACCAATCGTTGTGGGCTCTGTAAATTTATTATATTCAAGATAATTAATATGTCCCTCAAAAATAGCTTTTTCAAGCCATTCTTCCGGTGTGTTTGCCATAACTTTCGTATTCAAAAAAAATGTACGTAGATGTCATTTATACTTACTAGATGATACTGCTACGTGACACTGCATTTAGTTCAAGATTACATAATGATGCGGTACAGTTTAGAACCTATAGTCGGAGGTACAGTATTAAAATCTGAACAAATAGAAAATTTCTGATTACGTATCAAATTTGTGCTGGAATTTTTCTTAATTTACCAGAATTTTCTGCATTTCGCAGTATAATTTTGTGCTTTGATACCGTGGCCTAAAATAGCATTCTTGTCATTATGGTCCGACGTTCTTTTGGTTCAGAAAACTATGCAAAGCGTGAAAATGTAAAAATTCCCGTGACTTTATATGAAATAAAAGAAAATGAAACAATTAGTACACTTAGTAAGAATCAAGGAAATGAAGAAAAGAGAACAATTAGTATAATTAATATGAACGAAAGAAATTAAGAAAAAAGAACAATTATTATAATTAATATGCATGAAATGTAGAAAATAAAGGAAAGAAATAAGAACAATTAGTATAATTAAGATGAAAAATTCACAAAAGTTTTGAGTTATATTTACTTGAGTTTAGTGATATTTTCTGTTCATGTTCACCAACTTTTAGCGTTGCCTCGAATTTTTTGCCTTGAAAATAATATAGAACTCTTTCCGTTGATCATTTTTACCAAAACCGGAACAAAAAGAAAATAATCCGAACGAAGAAAACTCAGAAACCACTAAGTAAACCTAGTACGGGGCCTTAATTAAACTTGTTCAGCGCAGCTAGAAGCAGTCAATAAAGAATAAACTTCGCAAAAGTACCTATCGGACAAGGAACTACTAGAAGAAGAAAAAACAAATGGTCTCTCACACAGTTCCCTACCCACCAGCACCATGGCAGCGACCAACAGCAACAATGAAACTATCAACCAGCCTCAAACCAATACGCAACAGACCTCCAACAGCTCAATCCAACCAGGCGGATTCCTCACCAACCCTAGTATACTTCACCTAGAAAACAACAAACCTCAAAACTACAACTTCTTCAAATGCACAATACAAAGATCCAACAACAGAATATACTAAAGAATCTATCAACATAAT